TTTGGCTCTGGAATTTATTGAAATTTGTTTTCGCCACACAACTCACGTGCCTTCCACACACACGCACACATAAATAACCATTGAATACTCCAAGGTTTTACGCTTCTTGTCACTAATCAATCACGGGGCATTTTCCTTTTTACATTTTCCCTAACACCTGAATACATGAAAACTAAGTCAATTTCGGCCGAAAATATGCAAAAACAGGGCTAGAAAAATAACACGAACAAATTACGGTTACGGTTGTGTATTTCCTTCGAATAATGCAATCCATTTCTATTTCCACGAACCACAAAAATTACTCTTCGCATCCAACGGATTATTCTACAAAAAATTTATCTGCAAATTGCGTTGTATGAAACGGTAAGTAAAACAATCCGGTTTCCCAAAAACCGCCCCATTTTACCACACATCCTTTCTGGGTTTCGAGGGCTTTGTATAGTTTGGGCTTGGTCTTTATTTTGGGTGTGTTCATAATGGGTCTATGAAGACGTTCCGGCGATCTTCTGCGCGATAAAGGGAAAATAGCGTGCTTGGCATCTCCAACCCTCGATTCTAGTTTCGTATCTCTCTCCACCCTTAGCAGCCACCCCAAAATGTGGAAACTGTGTCACAGGCTGTTTTCGTTTCCACAGCCAAAAAAAAAACTAGGCAAAGAAATAGGCTACACAGAAAAAATACATAATACATACTTATTTTTTAATTGTTTAAAGTTAAAGTTTTATAGAAATTTAAGAGGTTACAATAATCTTTGTCTTGAAATGTTCTACAACAAATGCTTCACAGAAACCACATAAAAACCATTTTAAATTATGACAAAAAATTGTATAGCTGTAATAATATCATTTCAATTATTAAAGACCTTTACAAAAGCCGGCTTAATTGTTTACTTTTCATAATAAAACATAAAAATATGCAGGGCTTGTGAAATGTGTGGATTCAAAAGTTCAAAAAGGCCTCAAGCCCTTTTGTGTAATATTTTTTTGTTTTTGTGAACTGATGCATTTTTTAACCCCTCTCTCTCTCTCTGTTACTCTCTTTTCTACTCTTTACTTTTAACGATTTCCTCTCTTATCCCGAATCCTTTGCCGGTCAAAGCTTTTCCTCTGAAAAGGAGCTTCCAGGAAATAAGAATAATGTGCTATAAGTAAACAAACATTGAGCTATGAACTGTGAATACCTTTTACGATTCTTCTGCGATTGAAATGGCACACAACCCGTTGACAAATCAATGCAAGTAACTTAAATTATTTAGAGTTGCCCTGGCAACCCTGGCCCTTAAACGGCCCTCCACACGCGTGGTCAAAACAATTGAACCGAGTTCAAATACCTTTTAGCCAAACGAGGGTAAAGAGAGGCCGAGCAAATTGACCGACGAGTGTATTTGCAGGCCAATCATCGAGAATATCCTAATACGGAACGAGACCAGGAGGAAAAATCAATAGGGAAGGGAAAGGACTTTTCTTGGGGGGAAAACCGTAATGCTTTCGGTCGCCTAGACCCAATTTGAAAAAGGCAAAAATCGATGGGTTCTCGGGACAAGTTTCAATCGATAAACGAGTTTACAAACAGGGCAAAGTCGACAGATTCCAAAGTTGTGTAAAATTGTTTTACTGCTTTTCTGGTTTTTACTGTTTTTCGAGGTGAACTTTGTCTCGCACAAAAGTAAAACACGCAACTGCCCCTTTTCCTTTTGACCTCTGACGTGGTCTCTCGTTGCGTGTTGACGAAACTTGGGATCAACCTGCGTATGCTTAATGTCATTAGCTGCAAATCTAACATACGCCCTGTCTGCGCTCGTTTGTTATTTCCTTTCGCGTTTCCCAAAATAGCCCAACCTTGACACTTGGAAATGGCAAACAAGACGAAGTTCAGTCGCATTTGATATCTGCGCTATAGAGCAATAGATTAATCGAGCTAAATTAAGTTGCAACTCAATTTGAGGTACTTCATGCACGAATGACTGATTAGAGCTTTCTTGACGGTGCCAGTGCAGTTAAAAAAAAATAATAACTAGTTTAAAAATAACTGTACTGTCAAGTTTCAATTATATACAATTTATTAATTGTACATTTCTATCGCATATCAAGCTATCAAAGCTGAGGTAATTTATTATTAAAATGCTTAATTAAAAACTCAAGATCAAATATTCCAAAGCACTTAATTCAAAACAAAATGATTGTTTATTAAACTTATACGTATATTTAAAATAGAAAATTATTATACGTATATTTAAAATACAAAATTATTATAAATAAAGTGTTTCTCTTTACTTTTTTAACTTGTTAAGTAGGAAAATATTCACGTATTGATAAATAATGAGCTTCTAATGTGATCACCACTCAGAATCTTAAGTTTTGATTTATTATGGTTATTGTGTTTGTGTGCCTCAAATCTAAAACACCGCCTTATCAATTTGAATAAAACATATAGCGGAAAATACTCACCGAAATGACATCACCGTTTGGCGGTGTCGTCATTTGACATATTTTATTGACCCATTAAGGGAGCACGAAAGATAGCCTGTTGCTTTCTTAGACTGAACTTTAATGGCCAGGTGCCAAGATCCATATCGCATCATAATACCCATTCATTAATAGCAATTAAAAGCGATAAATTAAGCGACTGTGATAAGATAATGTGACTCAAGTGCGAGTTCCCTGTCTCACCCACTTTTTGATTTTTTTTTTTTTTGTTTGACTTGATTCATATGTTTTTGGCGACCTTCAGGCCTGCGGTTTGTTTTATACCGATCGTCGACTTGCGACCAGATTGATTCGGCTTGGATTGGATTACCCAATCACTATTTTTAGCTCTGGCGTGGTAACGGAAGTCGTTTTCAATATTTATTCGCATTTGAATGTGATGATTAGCAATGCGCACTTTGTGTGCATCTCAAAGTGTTTGCACATCGAATACCTTGCCGTGAGTACTTAGACCTTTAAAAAAAAGTCTATAAGGTCTATAAGAAAATGCCCGACAGGTGACGTAATTTCTCGAGGCTTTCTTCTCGCCGAGAGGCGGGGGCATTCAACCCGCAACCTCTCACCTCTCGGAGGTGGCAATTAAAACGGAAGTACTGGCAACCTGTTGCCGTTGCCCAAGCTCATTAAATTGGAGCTTGGGAAGCGGGCCGGCCGAAGCCAGTTGGCCAATAGTTTGCATGTGCGGCTCATGTTCGCATTAATTAGCCGGGCCCAACGGCTCTTCTGGGAATATAAACTATTACCACATGAGTACATTTTGCAGAACTTTTTAAATTCACGGTTAAAAAGAGTTGATATTCTGGTTTGGAACTAGTTTTAGTACTAGTTGAAAACTTTCTAAATGCAAACAATTAATATAAATTGTATATTTATTCTAACTACAGAAGTAACATTTTACATATGTGTGGAGTGAGTTTAGTTGTTTAATTTAAAATGTTGTCTATTTAATATAAAATTTTGTTTGCATTTAAAGAGTACTTCGATGCTTTAAAACATTAGAATTTTATATTTTATTAAATGAACATAGTATTACAGTTGATAACAATGTATTTTTGTATAATTAAAAAAGTAAAAAATAAAGATAATTATCTTGAACAATTAGTGGCTTTCTGTAGCATCTGCCATGCTAATTATATGGTAATTTATGTTTTTCGTGTGACTTTGCGGAGTTTTTCCAGAAGATGTGGACACTTTTCCCACACGTCCGTTAGATCGCAGATCGCTGTCAATCAGGGGCGATGGGAAACATGTGTACTAAGGCTGCTGGCCGCCCAAAATGGGCGTGGCAGACGGCATTTTCCCCAACGAAAATCGTGTACTATGCCAATGGTTAAAAATACCCGCGAGTACTTGTTGCTCTCGTAATCGCCCTCTCACTTGCACCTCACCCCCCCTCCCCCCAATTTTCACGCCCCTCCGGATCGCCCTATTTGCGCCCACTTAGTGGCGAGGGGTCAATAGACGAGCCAGTGGCTGAGAATGCTCGAAAAGCGTTTTGTACTCGCTTGGAGAGTGGAAAAGCAGAAAAGGCAAGTGGAAAATCAGTGGCGCAGAAAGTCGAAGAATGTAGCGTTCACAGAGAAAGAAAACTTTGATTAATACGATTGTTTGATAACAAATTCAGATCTTAGCTGTCTTGCAAGTCTTTTAAAATCCTGATAAGATCAGCTAGATCCACAAAAATGAAACTTATAAAATAATGACCTTATCTACTCCTAAAAGTAGTTGTAAATTTTTTTTTAGTGCCCATCTGGCGTGCGTAAAAACAGCAACACGAAGAAAAAGAAACAAGATAAAATAACAAAGCAGCAATTGATATAAAACAGATAAACGCCAACATAATAGCTGCTTTGTTATTGTTTTTCTATTGCCAAAAACGCTTTGCGCATTTTCGTATTTTCGCGAAAATTCAGCATTGAATGGGACGAGGGCACGAACCGCACAATGTTTTAATATTAACTGCAACAAGTGCCAAGGGGATATTGTAAACGAAAACAATTTCTATTTTCCCCCAGCCATTTCGTTGAATGCCAATTCTCTCGAACAGTTTCTAATAAATCTGTGAAACACACAGAACAGCCAAAAAAAAGCGGAAAGAAACAAACAACGAAAGGAAGGTCTAAAAATATAAAAAGCAGAACAAACACGTTATAAACAATGAGATGAAGTCGTAAAAAGTGTGGCTCCTCTGCATTCGGCATTACGGCATTACGTCATTTCTTTTCCTTCTCTTTCGTTGCCCCAAAAAACGATGACGTCAATGGAACGTTGGGACCCAATAAGTGCCAAAAAGAATGGAATAGTTGGAGTCACGCAGAATATGGGAAACAAGTGTTCACATCACTGACACGAGCTGCAGGCGCCGGCGCAGTATCTTTCACTCTTATATATATATATATATATTCGTTATATAGAGTACTATATACAGTAGTATCTGAGAATATCTCTCGCCTCGGAGAGCGCAGATCCCAAAAGATACCATCGTATTTCGAACCAATTCAAAATGCGAGCAGTTCATTTCAGTTGAGTTCTGTTTCGGTTCGGTTCGGTTTAGTTCCGTTTTCTAAGATTTCGATTTTTTATTTCAGTTATTTATTTTTACTAAAGAAATATTCAGTATAATATATACACTTTAAGCCTCAAATATTTAATCGAATAAATTTACTAAATTTCCCGTGGATTGTGTGCTTTTTGTGAGTGGCTAGATTTTTCCAACGTTTCATATTTTCCCAAAAGAAAATTGTACAAGTTCTATAATTAGAATGCGTTGAGGATGGGGCTTTGGGGGATGTAGATCTTTAATGGCTGCCTCGATACACAAAATCCTCTCACCCTCTAAAATCTCGGAGAATCGTTCGCCGAATGAGAAGCACCCACTATATGAACTATATTCCCGCAGAACGACAATGATGATGACGACGATCTGTGGGATTAACTCGCCCTGGAACTGAACGATGGATCTAGCAGATCAAATCGATGACTATATCTGTTCGTTCGAGGGACTTGGTGACTTAACAATGGACTCGCTGGCCATCTTCATTTTCCTGTGGGCCGTTCTGGCCCTCTTCTCCGTTTGGCTGATCAAGCTGCTCTACCACAAGTATCTCAACAAGGACAAGGCCTCCAGTGCGGCCAACAGTCGCCAGACGAGCGTGGCCCCCCACCTCCGGATCGCCTTCATCCATCGCCGGCAAGACGGAGAAGCGTCTCTCGGAACCGCGCGACTTACTGGCCACCAAGAGCAAGGTTGAGGATCTATCCAAACCCCTGACCGGTGGATCTGGGGGACGAGGACGCTCCTCGGCTTCGCCACTGAATTCTGGAGGGGCTGCTGCTGGAGGACCTCGTCGTCGAGTGGTTCGTCAGAGTTCCACGGGACCAGAAAACCGAAAGAAGCGATATGTGGCACCACCTTCGAATGTCGTTGGTCCAGAAACAGTGAGTATATATTATTTATATATTGCTTAAAACGATATATTGCTCAGTTGGTTAGTAAAACGGAGTACCAGGCTTGTCAGTCGGCTCTTAAAAGTAATATTTTTCGAGTTAGTAATACTGAAATATTCGTCATATCCTGCTATGTAACCTACAAAAGATTAGATTATTAAGTTGTCTATTGCTCAAAAGCAATCTCAGTATGTTTTTACTATATGCATTTCCTTTATTTTAATAATTTTTCCCACCAAATGTTCAAACATTAAGAATGGTACATTTTTCGCTACCTAAATCATGAAAAAAATGCGTCATACATTGAAATATAATCAGCAAAAGATTCATTCATTAGGTTCATTAAGTTGCTTTTAAATGTGTTTCAATTATACAAAAATCTACCAATTTTACAAGTAACATTTAAAATTCCATTTTAACTATACCAACTGTTTAATAGAGAACTTTCCCGCCGATTTAAATCCTATCTAACCAACCTTATTCTTCAGAGCTCCGTCACCTGGACCAGCCAGGTGTTCCGCTGGCTCTATAGCGACCTGGTCATCGTGAACGAGCTGCTGATGTCCTGGGTAATTGCCATCAACGACACGCTGCGCAAATCCGTGGAGGAGGTGAGTCTCACTCAGAGAATGGTTAAATGACATCAGACAGCAGACACCTCGCAGCTTTGACATCACTCTTGGCCCGGGGCTCTGATGTCATGGCTGAGCCCGACTTGGTCTTTATTGGCCGGGCATTAACCTTTGTTCTTGGCCCGCCACGACATTCAACTTGAAATCGATGTTCAGCTGCTTGAGCCCCAACTCTTTCCCCTTCTCCATCAGACTGGCGAACTGGGAACTGGGAACTCGCTCAGCCGTAACTGATGTCGAAACGCGTTTTGTTTTCAGCGGCTTTTTTTCTACACTGTGTAGTCGTTGGGTGAAAGAGCTTATAGTGTTCATTAATAATTTTGTGACAGGTAAACAAAAAATATATTTTGTTTGCCTCTCATAACACGAGTGATAGTTAATTTTAAAGGTATACTAAATGGAAATTAATTTTTGGTTATTATTGCAGTCTACTAAAATGAAATATGAAGGTTAGATAGGCTATTATTGAAGTTTTTATTCGTTCTATAAATCTAAATTATCAAAAATATCTTTCGGAGGTCACTTTAGTAACCTAGTTTACTGATACACTTTTTCATAATTATAAACATTTTGTGAATCAAATCAAAAATCTACATAATGAAATATATGTAATGAATTTTGGGATTTATAAATATTTCTTTGCAAAATCCACTTAGAGGGTATCCATTGACTGGAATGCAGGATTTAAGCCGCGCTTGTTTTCCTCTGATTCGGTTTTTTATCGCCTTTTACGTGATCGGAGCCAGTCGGAGGCCAAGGTCGCCATTCAGTTGTTAGTCATTATCCCGTATCTGAGTCGAAGCCCCAAAAACGCACGCTGCTGAATTACGTAATTCGCGAATAATAAATCCAAAGATGAAAGGGGCTTATCTGTTGGGTTTTGTTCAATCAGTTTATATATTATTTTCCCCCTTTTTAGCATGGAGTGGCCGTCGAAGTGGTTCGAGTGCTGCCCGACAGCCCTGCCCCCGAGTTGAAAAACATATTCTGTAATTGCGATGAGAACAATCCCGCTGATATGGTAAGAAATCAATATATTGTCAAGTGGAGCGTTAATCACCCAAGAATTCCATATCACAGCTCATCACCTTTGATTGCGAGGCGATGCCGGTGCTGCAGGTCAAGACCTTCCGCCAGAAGGCTGGAAAGGTGGAGACCTCCCACTACAAGGTCACCGTGTCTAGGTTCCGCGCCCGCATGGCGATTCCCATGAACTACAACTCCCTCAAGGGTGAGATGCGAGTCGAGGGCTATCCAGATGTGAGTAAATAATTTAGGTGGGGTGAAAAGTTTGACCAAGAAATGTTGCCTACGTGTCATAGAATTTATATACGAAGTCCCTAGGGAACACATGAATAATTATAACATTTTTGTGGTCTTTAGTTTTTAAAATATTTGTAGATATTTTTTATCAACAATAGCATAGCTTTTTATCAGTACGTTATTTGTTATGTTATGTTATTTCTAAAAATAAAGAAAAACACATTTGGAATGCAAAAAAATGGAAAGTTATTGCGCTTATTTCAACTTGCTTACTTAATTTGAGTGATAAGTTTTATAATTCACTTTAAAATTTAGTAGCTTTTATTATCAGTTTTTAGAAACAGAAGATCAATGTTAGGGTTATCTTAAATAAAATAAAATTTAAAAATTTTTTAAGTAGAGAAGCATAATAATTAGCAGCTCAGAGTATTATAACTACCTAATAATTTCCTTTTCTTTCGTAGGTTCGCATTGCGATGAACAGCGTGGGCGCCATCAAGGCGATGGACCAGGACGAACAGCAGCTGCAGACGGTGATCAGCGACATCCTGTCGACGGCTCTCCGCGACACCGTCTACCCGGTGGACTTCTCCATCTACTCCACCTGCCCGAGGGCGGAGGTGGAGCCACTGGACCTGCCCGTAATCTATCCCGTTCACTATGACTCGCTGGCGGTGAGCGTCGGGAGCAGTGAGAAGCGGAAGGCTCCAGTATCTGTGTTTTGTTTCTTGTTCGAAGTATTCCTGTGTATTCCTCGAACACTCGCCATCGCTCAAAGAACTCGATTCTGAGACTCTCTGCACAGTGTTCTTACACACAAAAATCAAGACAAAAACCAACAAAAAAAAACACACTTCTCATTGCTCTCGTCCTCCTCTGTGATTTTATGAAATTCGCCTTTTCAAATCTATCTTTCAGCTCAGAATTCTACACCGCATTTCCCGTGTTTCTGTGTTGAGAATTCGTTTCGTTCCTTCTTTTGATCTCCTTGAAAGAAAGTAAAAAGAATTATCTTTTGCGCTCTCTCTTTTCAGGGCAACCAATACTTTCAATATTATTACAATTTCTAGTGTCTATCACGCATTAGTTCCTGATTAAAGGCGAATTTCATGAGCCCCCAAAAACCCCCGACTTTTTACTACTATCAGACCCATTTCCCATGAACTCTCGAATTTCTGTGTCTCTCGATTCACTCACTCATTGCATGTTGTCCTCCTACATTCCACACAGCACAACATGGAGCACCACATGGGCGCACTGGGACTGAGGGAGTCACAGCACATGGTTTCCGGCCGCCGGCTGCTGGTGAAGATCGTCAAGGGCGAGGGTATCAGGGATGCCCACGATCCCTACGTGGTCATCGAAATGGACGAGCCGGCACAGAAGAACCAGACGGGCACCCAGCGGGGCAGCAAACCCTTCTGGGATGAGCACTTCCTCTTGTAAGTTATATACCTATATATACTTTTATGAATGTGATTTTTAGGTTTTTAAGCATCGCCTCTTTTCTGCGTATCAGTTTGTTTTTTGGTGTTCCTGTCACAATATATAAATGTTTAACAAAAATAAAATGTTTATGGTCAGTTATTTGCTATGAGCAACTGAGTAAACAACATTTAACAAGGCATAATTGATAGGAGTCTTCCAAGTCAAGCAAACATTTCCATTAATAATAAACTAAAGGTTTTACAACTTGTAGTTGCAATAAGTTTTCTACAAACAAATTGTAAATATATATAAAAAATTTAATTTCTTATTTAGAGGTATTGGTTATCTAATCATATAAAAAGGTGTAGTTCATTACACAATAATAATTCAAAGAAAATTAAATTTAATTCTTTACTATAATTTAAAGGCTTCTTTACTGCTTTTTTTTGCAAGTAGTTATTTAAGATAAGGGGTTTTGCTATAGAGTAATACCTTTGTTTTTTGGTGAATAACCATTTGATTCCCCTCCTTTTCGTAGTGAACTCTCCCCCCAATCGGCCGAAATCCTGTTCGAGGTGTACGACCATCCGGTGATTGCCTCGGATCCGCCCAAGTTCCTGGGCCTCGGCCTGGTTGGAATCGATGAGCTGGCCGTGGGACCCGCCTCCACTCAGCTGCTCCAGTTACAGCCACGTCCCTATGAGACGCAACCCGTTTCGGGAGCCATCACCGTGGACTTTGTGTTCATCGAGGGCGCCGAGATCCCGGTGAATGCCCGGCCGCAGCGTCTGAAGGAGGCACTGCGTCTCAGCACGCCGGCCATCAACGAGCACATCAGGAACGGAGCGGACTTGGCGGATGCAGCCGTGAGAGCTCTGCAGGATGGAGCGCTCTCGACCACCGGAAGTGGTGGTCAGCCCAGCAAGAGCACTCTGATCATCCACAGTGTTCAGCGAGTGAGTGTTTCCTTTTTTTATTTAATAAGTTGCGGTTGTCAAAGTGGTTTACATAAAGTTAAAATAGATTTTATTATAAACTGGTGAAACACCTCTTCAGGTTTATTCTTTCAAAATATGTTAAAAACTGATACTCGCAGTAAAAAATATTTCAAAAACATCTTTCGATATAATTTATATATTATTGCACCCTCGATAATTCAAATGAATTGACAACCGTGATTTCAATCACTTTCCACACATTTCGTATCCTCTTATTACCCTTTCTATGGTTTTATAATTTCCTTTTGTTTCTCTTTACCTTTATTTCATTTCATTCCCGTCTCTGATCCCGCCCAGAATTCGAGCAGCCCGAATGCATTTAAGGTAAACCCCCAGACCAGGTCATCATTTCTTCAATCGTTCTTTTGAGTTATCTGCGTTACTGCGTCTCTAATCCCGTCCTCATGATGGTTTACAAGTCATGTAGGCTAATTAATGTTTAAGCCAAGCTAATACCAAATGTTTCTCGTTCTGTTTGCTCCGCCTAACCCCAAAAACCAAAACAAAACAAAAAATGCGCTTCTTCTCTAACCAAATCCTCGAACCGACCAGGTTGAGGTGAACAAGGAGGGTCACATCGAGGTGACCGAGGCTCCAACGGAACTGGACCAGGCCGTGGCCCAGGCCTTCGAGCGGGCCAAGAGCGAGCTCGAGCTGGAGGAGAAGGCCAAGGAGGAGAAGGCCTCCATTCAGCTGGGCGAAGCCCTCAACGATTCAGGTAACGGCACCGTCAACGAGGAAAGTACCGCCGAGGTGAGTAGTCAGAGTTCAAGGAGTTATTCGGCATGGCATGAAGTTTGGGTTAAGGAGCTGGAGAAGATCGCCCCCTAATAACTCTTGAATTAATTGCAGTTTGGTCAACCGAATGCCGCTTCTTCGCCCAATGGCAGTGGTTATCACAACAACTACAGTTTGAATGGCACTGGCAACACGAATGGCGCCGGATCGGGTGGATATAACAGCCTGCCGAGGAATGGGGGCGCCTCCCAGTTGGGCCAGCATTCGGTGGGATTAATCGAGGGCCATGACGTCGTCGACGAACGCGGACGGAGCAAAAAACGTAATTTCTTTGGCACCCTCAAGAAGCGGCTAAGTCGCTCGAAAACACGAACCCTATCGGCCGATCAGCCCAATAATAACAGTCATAAGTCACTATCAGCCACCAACTCGAATACAACAGCAACAGGCACCGGATTCTCGCGAACAGCCACCGGAACCCTCAATGGTGATTCTTCCCGTTCATTATCTGTCGATCGTGCCACTCTGTCCAAAAGCAATTCACTTGGTAATTACCACCCAGTCACAATCCTCCTCTCCGCCACGTGTCCACGTTTTTAACTACTTGAGCCCGGCTTAACGCACATTTTTTGGACTACTCCTGCATTCCGCTAGTAACTCCGCTGGGACGGGACATTCATCACATATCTCATTCGAGACCATAGCATTTCACCCTTAAATCCCAACTATTAATTGCTATTTGCACTTGGAAACTACTAATATTTATTTAATTTTATTTAGATTAAGAGTATTATGATGCACAGGGTCTATCCAAAATAATATAAAAGCTTTTTTAACTATGCTCTTGTTTCATTTTAATCTTTCACTAATAATTTGCCTATTTATTTAGTCTCTCCCTTAAAAATCTATTTTTTTTACTATACGTACTTGTAGTTTTAGTATGAAATTTTTAAATACTGATCTTGAAATATTATTCCGTCGAGAATGGAAATATATTTACCCATGATATTTCATTCATCGAACTTCATAAATACCTTTAATATTTACTGTAAATTGCTTTTCTCCCTAGAGATTTAAGTGTTCTAGATGTTGTTGTACTCAAAGCTTGACCTATACTATATTGTGATATCTGTATCTATATCTGTTGTCTGTTTTATCTTCTCTCCCCTAACACTTTTCCCACCAAATGCTAACTGAACTGTGATCCACAACACGAATCTGTATGTATTCCATGGTTCCTACACACGCACACTACTCTCAACAAAAAAACACTCAAAAAACGGTTAAATATTTTGAAATGTTTTGTAAATATTTGATTTTTATTCGGTTTCTGGTATATGAATTACTATATCTGCTTTGTATCGGTTCACAAATGGCCTTTTTACAAATCATTAATTCGACATGGTTTTAATTATTTCTCATACTCTTTCCGTTTTCTTTTCTTTTGTTTATTTTCATATATGCAAAATATGATTTGATGGGTCTTAACGGGTGCTTGGTTTGTGCCACTCTCAACTTGCCATATAAATAAAAAAAAAACAACACACTAAAAATAAATAAACGCAGGACCCCGCATGGGCATTGGTCACTCCATCACCGACCACTCACGCCGCTCCTCAATTTCAGAATCCTCGGCCATCTCAGGCTTCTCCTCGGCCAGCAACAAAACCTATGTGCACGAGGCATCCACCTTGGTGCTGGAGACCATCGAGAACGGCGTGAAGCGGTGGGTATTTCAGTTCAAATTGGAGCTATAATTAATGGAGCTATACTTACGATCCTTTCTTTTAGCCACTTTATTGTGCCTTTGGCCATCGCCCAGAGACCGCGTTGGCGTCGCAAGGGCACCAAGCTGCACATCTACAACGATCACACCTTCATCGCCAAGCACTTGAGCGGGTAAGCAATAAATTAAATGAATTAAAACTAATTAATACATTTAAAAACCAAGCTACAACCCCTTTCCAAACCCCTTTCTTCCTTTCTAGTTTTATTTGACTTCAAATTTGAATTTGTTGATTAATATTTTTTTTGTTTATTCCAGAAGCGGTCTGCAGTGCTCCATTTGCATGAAGTCCATCCCCCGGAGGCCAGGAAAACAGGGCTACGAGTGCCGAGACTGCCAGCTGATCTGTCACAAGCAGTGCCACATACGGGCACCCCAGGCATGTCCCAATCCCACGGTGCTCTCCATGGAACTGTAAGTGCATCCAGACCCCCGCCAGCTTGGGATTAATATCCTGCCCCTTGCTTCTGTTTTGAGGGAGCTGCACCCCGGCGAATACCCAATACTAATTTATTTATTTCATTTTACTTTTCTCTTTCCACACACACAAAAACACACACACACAAAATGCACGCACACAACCCCGAACAGAACGTCATTTCCGGTACTCACAGAGAGAGATCTGAACCTAGTTAACTAAATCCCTATTTTTTGTGTCCAACTATCTGAAAATTGATTCCTTTATAAAAAAAAAAGTCCTGAGTCCGCCAAATGCAGTTTGATATCTACCAAGAGCAAGTTTTTAATTTACTTATTCCTCGAAATTGGCGTCAGAAGTGGAAATTATGGCTTTGTTTCTCGGCTTTCGCTAGCATCCCAAATCATTGCACTTTCACCTCGCTTGGCCACTCGCTGTTTCACTTTCTGTATATTTCTCTATGGGCACTAATTTGAGCTCTTTTCCGATCGCACATTTTCACGAAAACACAAAAACCACCGAACCACCAAAAACCACCCACCACATGGATACAGGATGGCCAGTGAGGAGTAGACAAGTAAATCTCAGCGACATCCACTGCATCGTTAGCCAGTAAAATACCATTTTGTAAATGCTACCCAAGACTCTGACGCCAGATATATACTCGTATATTTCAAAAAAGAACATACGCAATCCTCCTTCGATTTGAGAAAAGATAACTTCAGGGTTCTAGATTCGTTCAGCTGCAGATTTGAGAGGTTCGAGCGATTTCCAGTTGGCCTTTGGCAACTGGGGAATCGGGGTAAGCAGCCACAGCATTCGCATGAAGTTTCTTGTTCTGCTCCACTGTGTTGTGTACTAAATTAACACTCTGTCGTTCAGTTTGGATCGCATTCCGATCGATACTAATGCAATTCCTCTTGAAGGTTCAGTTTATTCGTTAAGAATTGGCCTAATACTGTTTCAAGCTTGATTTTGTATTGTTTTATATCGTCTTCTATTGACAATAAGAATGACTTACTATATTTCGTTGTATTTTCACAGAACCAAACTTAACTCAGCTGCGGCAGACCGCAGTATACGGAAGCTGTGAGAGGGGAACTCCCCGCGAATCCCATCGGATCCATCCAGCCGAGAAATCGAGAAACCGGAAACCTTAATCGAATTAATATCCTAGCTAGATTATACGAAGGAGCTGTGCATACTATCTTCACCTGCTATGGAAATCCTCAAAATATTACGTTATTTATTTATACACTCACGCGAACACAAAACACATGTGCAATAAGTTCTTTGGATTCGTTTTAAACTCCCTACCAACGTGCTCGAGCCCTTTGATATTTTGTATTTTCTACAACACGAATAATAATTGTACAAAATAAAAGCGAACTAGGGTTTTCTTGTTTTTTATCAAATAAAAGGTAAAACAGAAACATCTGAGTTTTTTAAATCGAAAATAGCGTGTCAAAGGGTAATATTTAAATAAGTTTAGTAAGATGGTTACTATTTTATTTGTATAGGACACAAATGAAAGCATATTGCTATTATCTGGCTTCCAAAACTTGATCCCTTTATTTATTTGTTGGATTTTTTAAAAGCATAAATATTTATAGATTGTCCGTATTTTTATCAAGTATGTTTTGAATATGATGTGCAAGCCGAATTCTTGAACTGTTGCATCGTGTAAGGGTCTACATAAGAGCAAGTCTCTTTTTTTTGAACCGGCTCCGAAAAAGTTCCACTGGTCAATAAATGTACATCCACAATTGTTTTTGGGGCAACGCTACCCGGCACTGCGGTTTCAGCTGGAGGATCGGACAGTTGGGCTACGTTATTTGATTTGCAATTGACTATAAATAGGCCATCAGGGACGGACACCGCAATGTCTGACATTTTTCGTAATTTATCAATAGAAATGAGTACGAGGAAGAGCGTTAATAGGAGAAGCGCACCTCCAAGATAGTAACCCCACCTCCATCTGAAGGAGATACCTTTTGTGGCCCGTACAAATCTTGGATCATTCCATTGCATGCCACCTCCGGAGTTGTCTTTGTATCTGGCTGCCACTGCCACATTATACAACACCATAGAGCTATTGAAGTTGAAATGATTTTGGGATCCTTCTAGCACCCGACAACTGATGGGTTTGAGGTCGTCGCAGAACTGCGAAATGTTTGATGGAGCGGCGCACCAGGTGACTACATAACCTACAAGATCACTCTGGTACTCTGGAGATCGCCATGTGATAGTTAGGTTATCCGCATGGTAAACTATCTCCTGCGGCTGACGACTCCTTCCATGGGTCAAAACGGGCACCTCGAGATTGCCCTTATCTGCTGAGGGTCCTTTAGAATTCTGGCTCCAAACGTATACGAGCGAAGAATGTGTGGCATCCCAATCATCGAAAACCGCTGTGTTGTTGCTTAACAGGGACGCCGTTTTACTAAAAATATATGGTTAATTTGGAATTGATCGCCTGTAAACTTTATGTTGACCTACCCCGTTTGCGTCTGGGCGATATATGTAAAGTGCGGTTTGTAGAACTCCAGTTCCATCAGTTGGATCCAAAATACGTAGAGCTTTTTTTGTTTCGTATCGTGGAAGAATCCGTTGGGAACTATCTCCGGCGGAAGCTGGGGAAGAGTTCTGGGCATAAACTCAGAGAATTCACTCTCATTAGGCCCAGTAGGGTTGATAAAGCGACACCACAGAATCACCTTAAGGATTTGGTAATCAAAGAAAGGTGTGTCGAAGCATAATATCATCCCGGTGTCATATTCGACAATCCGAGGCCTATTAATATGATCGGTCTTTTGGTTCTGGAGTAGAAGCTGGGCCCAACTTTGAATACGTCTTCCAAAACGAACGCGCGTCCAATGTAGGCATATTTGATCCTTTCTTTTTTCAAGAATGGGGGATTCCGTTGGCCAAGAGGAAAGATTCCGATCAAGGTTGATTTGAAATTGCTGCATTTTACCGTGAGCCTCTATTGGAATGCTCAAATTGAGGGTTTTAACATTAAAATTTTCGTACTCGATATCAATAACCAGGCACTGCAACCATGTGTTTTTTCGCGGTGTTTCCCGACTCCCGACTGGCTGTTTGCTATCTAAATTCACGGAATATGTGTGCGACCACCAGAATATGGGATCTCCGAACCCACACCCTACACTCCTTGAATTATGCTGATTATGGCACTTCAAATATGACACTTTAAGCAGAGGCAGGACCCGAAACCACATATGCTTCACCATTACATCCTTCCAAAAGCAATATATATTAATATCTTTTTCTTTGGCCTTATTTACCCTGTGCTTGGCGGTAAAATTATCGACAATCTCCTTGTCAAGGTCAAGATCGTCTGACCTCAGGTGCAGATCCTCGGGTCGCACATCCGAGTGGTTGCACCTGCAGAATACATCGTGGGCACCGCCGGCGTAGAGCGTTTCATTAGAAGACCAAATATCCGCGTCGCACACTTTATTGGCACCGCAGATGCTGATTAGCTGCACCAGAAATACCAGCAACAAACCAGTGAGTTCGCCCTCCATTTCAAGACTATTCCATAATACATAATGTTATAGAATAAAAAATCTGTACAAGTTAGCTAAGGAATACAGAAGGTTGTACACCCTTGAAATTAAAACTGAAAATCGTAAATCGTATTTATTTTATTTCTTATTATACATCTTGCAAAACAACTTTTTTTGAATTTGTTTTTTACAGCATATGGTTGGTCGTTCTATTTTAATGCAAGTTAATATCAACCAAAAAAAAGTACTAGATCTAAAATTATATGCAAAAATGTTTAACAACAAAGTAGTTTTTTAGTCAGTTGTCATTTTTTTTTTTTGAAGCTATATGGACAAGCCTGACGATTCGTAGAAAGAATATTCAAGTTTCTGATTGAAATTGTCATATCGCATTTGGTTGTGAGGTCCCGAATATGACATAATCGGTTATCAGCATTCATTAAATATTATTTTGAGTATCATTACCATACTTTGACTGTTCTTACCCTCTGACTTCGAACTTTAAGTACGTTTTCCTTTATTTATTTAATATTTGGTTAGTATTTCTTATTATTATTATTTTTTTTACTTGTAGTTATCATTACAGAACTATTTTTACTTGTCCTCTGTTACCTTTCGATGATAGGAACAGTTCCTTATAATTTTCAGACTAATAAAACTTAAATTCTAATATTATGTTCACATTTCTGGTATAAAAAATATGATGGCACCAAAAATTATTATTTTGGGGGCGTAGCAATAGTGTGGCACCACATGCTGAATTTGATCATACATATAATACCTACCTACCTATCTTCAGAATACTTTAAAATTAGGAATATCCCGACGTTCAGCTGCAGAGTGAAGAGTTTCAAGCGATTTCCAGATATCCATTGGCAATCGCATTCCGATCGATACTAATTCCTATTGAAGGATCAGTTTATTCGTTAAAATTTTTCATAATACTGTTTCACGCTTGATTTTTTATTGTTATATCGTCTATAACTTTTATTGTCAACACGAATGACTTACTATATTTCGCTGACTTTTCACAATACCAGCTGTGAAAGGGGAACTCCCCGCGAATCCCATCGGATCCATGCAGCCGAGAAATCGAGAAACCGAGAAAGCTTAATCGAATTAATATCCTAGCTAGATTATACGAAGGAGCTGTGCATACTATCTTCACGTAATATGGAAAACCTCAAAATATTGGTTCTTTGGATTCGTTTTCAAACCATTTCTAACAATCAACGTGTTCGAGCCCTTTGATACTTTATATTTTCTACAAACACGAATTATAGTTGTACAAAATCTAAAAGAACGTTTCGAAGGAAAGTATTTTAATAAGTTAAACGATGGTTAACATTAAAATATTTTATTTGAGAGAACATTTTGCAACTAGCCGGTTTCCACAACTCTATGATTAATTACGAGTATTCCTATGGTTTTTTATACCCTTGCAGAGCAAAGGGTATTATAATTTCAGTCAGAAGTTTGCAACGCAGTGAAGGAGAAACCTCAGACCCCATAAAGTATATATATTCTTGATCAGCATCACCATCTGAATCGAAATATGTATGTACGTCTGTCCGTCTGTCTGTCTGTCCGTCTGTCCGTCTTTCTGTTTCTATGTAAACTACATAGTTTCTCAGTTTTGAAGCTATCTTGCTGAAACTTTCCCAAAAGTTGTGTACTTATTGCACGCAGTATATAAGTCGGAACGGGCCGGATCGGCCGACTATATCGGATAGCTTCCATACGAGAGAATGAAATAAAAAATTCTCACGCCTATGTTTTTGATCAGATCGTCTTAAATTCTTTCAGATGGAGTTTTCTAACTAAGTACTATTGAATTTCGGATACAATTTTATCAAAATCGGATAAGTGTATCATGTAGCTGCCATAGGAAAGATCGAAAATTCTATATAGAAATAATGGAAAAACATGAAAAGAAGCTAGCTTCGGCAAGCCGAAGCTTATATACCCTTGCAGTCATCAAATATTTCGAACAGAATACACAAAGGCTAAAGAACATTGAAGCTACGACGACTTTTCTATTATTTTTCCATATTTTTGACTATTGTTCATATGGCAGATATATGATATAGTTTTCCGATTTTGATGAAATTGTATTTGTTATTTAAGAGTCGTTAGAAAACTCTATATTCAAAAAATCATGATATTCTGATAAGAAATAACGATGTTATCATTTTATCATTTTATTTCCGTTAATTCTATATAGATTTTTTGATCTTTCCTATGGCAGCTATATGATATAGTTGTCCGATTTTTATTTTTTAACTACCCTTGAACTGAGAAAAAATTTCATAAAAATCGGACAACTATATCATATAGCTTCCATAGGAAAAAGATCAAAAAATCTAATAGAATTAACGGAAATAAAATGATAACATCGTTGTTTTTCATCAGACAATAATGATTTTTGAAATACAGAGTTTTTTAACGACTCTTGAATAAAGAATTGAATCAAATCAGGCGACTATATCATATCAAAAAAAGGTTATCGCTTCGACATATTTAATGACTGCAAGGGTATATAAGCTTCGGATTGCCGAAGCTAGCTTCTTTCCTTTCATGCATCCTTATCCCTATCGTGTGAGACTCTACATTAGAGCAAGTCTTTTTTCTTTGAACCGGCTCTGAAAAAGTTCCGCTGGTCAATAAATTTACATCCACAATTGTTTTTGGGGCAACGCTACCCGGCACTGCGGTTTCAGCTGGAGGATCGGACAATTGGGCTATATCGTTTGATTTCCCATTGACTATAAATAGGCCATCAGGGAAGGACACCTCAATGTCTGACATTTTTCGTAGTTTATGAATTGAAATGAGTACCAGGAAGAGCGTTAATAGGAGAAGCGCACCTCCAAGATAGTAACCCCACCTCCATCTGAAGGAGATTTCTTTTGTGGCCCGTACAAATCTTGGATCATTCCATTGCATGCCACCTCCGGAGTTGTCTTTGTATCTGGCTGCCACTGCCACATTATACAACACCATAGAGCTATTGAAGTTGAAATGATTTTGGGATCCTTCTAGCACCCGACAACTGATGGGTTTGAGGTCGTCGCAGAACTGCGAAATGTTTGACGGAGCGGCGCACCAGGTGACTACATAACCTACAAGATCACTCTGGTACTCTGGAGATCGCCATGTGATAGTTAGGTTATCCGCATGGTAAACTATCTCCTGCGGCTGACGACTCCTTCCATGGGTCAAAACGGGCACCTCGAGATTGCCCTTATCTGCTGAGGGTCCTTTAGAATTCTGGCTCCAAACGTATACGAGCGAAGAATGTGTGGCATCCCAATCATCGAAAACCGCTGTGTTGTTGCTTAACAGGGACGCCGTTTTACTGAAAATATATGGTTAATTTGGAATTGATCGCATGTAAACTTTATGTTAACCTACCCCGTTTGCGTCTGGGCGATATATGTAAAGTTCGGTCCGTTGAACTGTAGTTCCGTTAGATGAATCCAAAATACGTAGAGCTCTTTTTTTTCCGCATCGTGAAAGAATCCGTTGGGAACCATCTCCGGCGGAAGCTCGGGAAGAGTTGCCGGAGTTTTAAACGTAAACGGGTAGTAATCATCCGTATAAGGCCCAGTAGGGTTGATAAAGCGACACCACAGCTTCACGTTGAAGATTAGGTTGCCAAAGGAAGGTGTGTCGAAGCATAATATCGTCCCGCTGTCATAGTAGACAATCTTAGGCCACTGTGGAACGATCTTTCGGTTCCGGAACAGAAGCTGGATCCGACTTTGAATACGTCTTCCAAAACCTTGGAGTTGCTCAATGAGCATCCAATGTAGGCATATTTGTTCCTCTCTTGTTTCAAGAATCGGGGATTCCGTTGGCCAAGTCGGTACCGTTATCCGGTCAAGGTTGATTTGAAATTGCTGCGACTGCATTTTACCGTAAGCCTTTAATTGAAGGCTCAAGTTGAGTGGTTTCACATTAAAATCTTTGTACTTGATATCGATATCCAGGCACTGCATCCATGTTTTTATTTCCGGTATTTCCCGACACTCGACTGGCTGTCTGCTATCTAAACTCAAGGAATATGTGTGCGACCACCAGAACATGGGATCTCCGATCCTACTGAACCCACATGCTACAGTCATTGAATCATCCTGATAATGGCACTTTAAATCTGATACTTTTAGCAGGGGCAGGACCCGAAACCACTTATGCTTAACCATTACATCCTTCCAAAAGCAATATATAATAACATCTTTTTCTTTGGCCTTATTTACCCTGTGCTTGGCGGTAAAATTATCGACAATCTCCATGTCAAGGTCAAGATCGTCTGACCTCAGGTGCAGATCCTCGGGTCGCACATCCGAGTGGTTGCACCTGCAGAATACATCGTGGGCACCGCCGGCGTAGAGCGTTTCATTAGAAGACCAAATATCCGCGTCGCACACTTTATTGGCACCGCAGATGCTGATTAGCTGCACCAGAAATACCAGCAACAAACCAGTGAGTTCGCCCTCCATTTCAAGACTATTCCATAATACATAATGTTATAGAATAAAAAATCTGTACAAGTTAGCTAAGGAATACAGAAGGTTGTACACCCTTGAAATTAAAACTGAAAATCGTAAATCGTATTTATTTTATTTCTTATTATACATCTTGCAAAACAACTTTTTTTGAATTTGTTTTTTACAGCATATGGTTGGTCGTTCTATTTTAATGCAAGTTAATATCAACCAAAAAAAAGTACTAGATCTAAAATTATATGCAAAAATGTTTAACAACAAAGTAGTTTTTTAGTCAGTTGTCATTTTTTTTTTTTGAAGCTATATGGACAAGCCTGACGATTCGTAGAAAGAATATTCAAGTTTCTGATTGAAATTGTCATATCGCATTTGGTTGTGAGGTCCCGAATATGACATAATCGGTTATCAGCATTCATTAAATATTATTTTGAGTATCATTACCATACTTTGACTGTTCTTACCCTCTGACTTCGAACTTTAAGTACGTTTTCCTTTATTTATTTAATATTTGGTTAGTATTTCTTATTATTATTATTTTTTTTACTTGTAGTTATCATTACAGAACTATTTTTACTTGTCCTCTGTTACCTTTCGATGATAGGAACAGTTCCTTATAATTTTCAGACTAATAAAACTTAAATTCTAATATTATGTTCACATTTCTGGTATAAAAAATATGATGGCACCAAAAATTATTATTTTGGGGGCGTAGCAATAGTGTGGCACCACATGCTGAATTTGATCATACATATAATACCTACCTACCTATCTTCAGAATACTTTAAAATTAGGAATATCCCGACGTTCAGCTGCAGAGTGAAGAGTTTCAAGCGATTTCCAGATATCCATTGGCAATCGCATTCCGATCGATACTAATTCCTATTGAAGGATCAGTTTATTCGTTAAAATTTTTCATAATACTGTTTCACGCTTGATTTTTTATTGTTATATCGTCTATAACTTTTATTGTCAACACGAATGACTTACTATATTTCGCTGACTTTTCACAATACCAGCTGTGAAAGGGGAACTCCCCGCGAATCCCATCGGATCCATGCAGCCGAGAAATCGAGAAACCGAGAAAGCTTAATCGAATTAATATCCTAGCTAGAATATACGAAGGAGCTGTGCATACTATCTTCAACTGTTAAGGAAATCCTCAAAATATTACGTTATTTATTTATGCACTCACGCGAACACAAAACACTTGTGCAATAAACTCTTTTTTAAACCATTTCTAACTATCAACGTGTTCGAGCCCTTTGATACTTTAAATTTTTTACAAACAAGAGTAATAATTGTACAAAATCTAAAAGAACGTATCGAAGGAAAGTACAGTCGAGTCCCGAAAATTCGAAATGGCAAGGGGATCACTTTTTTTTACGAATTAGACGGGAATTCGATTTATCGAGATTTTTTCAAGGGAACAGAATTTTTTACGAATTATCGCGATTTTCGATTTAGCGGGGTACAAATTATCGGGATTCGACTGTATTTTAATAAGTTAAACGAATGGTTAACATTAAAATATTTTATTTGAGAGAACATTTTGCTACTAGCCGGCTTCCAAAACTGTATGATTAATTAAGAGTATTCCTATGTTTTTATACCCTTGCAGAGCAAATTTCAGTCAGAAGTTTGCAACGCAGTGAAGAAGACACCTCAGACCCCATAAAGTTTATATATTCTTGCTGAAACTTTACCAAAATGTGTGTCGTTATTGCACGCAGTATATAAGTCGGAACCAGCCGGATCGGCCGACTATATCGGATAGCGCCCATACAAGGGGTCAAACAAATAAAGGATAAAAAATTATTACGCCGTTGTTTTTCATCGAATTGACTTGATTTCTTCCAGAATTTTGAGATTAAATATTATCAAAATTGGATAACCCTATCATATAGCTGCCATAGGAAAGATCAAAAAATATATATAGAAATAATGGCAAAATAATCATAACGTTGTTGTTTTTTATTTCACGACCATGATTTTTTCAACATTGACTTTATGAACTACCCTTGAACCGAGAAAAAATTTCATAAAAATCGGACAAGGGGATATAAGCTAGCTTCCTTTCATGTTTTCTAAGTGTCTTTATGTATGTTTTGAATATGATGTGTATGCCGAAGTCTTAAACTGATGCATCGTGTAAGAGTCTACATAAGAGCAAGGCTCTTTTTTCCGAATCGGCTCTAAAAAAGTTCCGCCGGTCAATTCATTTACATCCACAATAGTTTTTGGGGCAACGCTACCCGGCACTGCGGTTTCAGCTGGAGGATTGGACAGTTGGGCTACGTTATTTGATTTCCAATTGACTATAAACAGGCCATCAGGGACGGACACCGCAATGTCTGACATTCTTCGTAATTTATCAATAGAAATGAGTAACAGGAAGAGCGTTAATAGGAGAAGCGCACTTCCAAGATAGTAACTCCACCTCCATCTGAAGGAGGTTTCTTTTGTGGCCCATACAAATCTGGGATCATTCCATTGCATGCCACCTCCGGAGTTGTCTTTGTATCTTGCTGCTACTGCAACATTAGAGAACACCATAGAGCTATTGAAGTTGAAATGATGTTGGGATTCTTCTAGCACCCGATAATTGATGGGTTTGAGGTCGTCGCAGATCTGCGAAGTGTTTGGCGAAGCGGAGCACCAGGTGACTACATAACCTACAAGATCACTCTGGTACTCTGGAGATCGCCATGTGATAGTTAGGTTATCCGCATGGTAATCTAGCTCCTGCGGCTGACGACTCCTTTCATGGGTCAAAACGGGCACCTCGAGATTGCTCTTATTTGCTGAGGGTCCCTCAGAATTCTGACTCCAAACGTATACGAGCGAAGAATGTGTGGCATCCCAATCATCGAAAACCGCTGTGTTGTTGCTTAACAGGGACGCCGTTTTACTGAAAATATATGGTTAATTTGGAATTGATCGCATGTAAACTTTATGTTAACCTACCCCGTTTGCGTCTGGGCGATATATGTAAAGTTCGGTCCGTTGAACTGCAGTTCTGTCAGTTGAATCCAAAATACGTAGAGCTTTTTTTGTTTCGTATCATGGAAGAATCCGTTGGGAACTATCTCCGGCGGAAGCTGGGGAAGAGTTGCCGGAGTTGTAAACGTAAACGGATAGTAATCATCCGTATAAGGCCCAAAAGGGTTGATAAAGCGACACCACAGCTTCACGTCGTAGATTTGGTTACCAAAGGAAGGTGTGTCAAAGCAAAAACGTAAGTCATCTGGAAATGTGTCAATCTTAGGCCACTGTGGATCGATCTTCTGGTTTCGGAGTAGAAGCTGGATCCGCCATTCAATATTACGAGCTTTGTATTTCCAAAAATTCCTATTCCACTCTAGGCATATATTTTCCTCTGTCGTTTCAAGAATCGGGGATTCCGTTGGCCAAGTCGGTACCGTTATCCGATCAAGGTTGATTTGAAATCGCTGCGACTGCGTTATACCGTGGGCCTCTAATTGAAGGCTCAAGTTGTGTCGTTTCACATAAAAGTCTTCGTAGAGGAGTTCAATATCCATGCACTGCATCCATGTTTTTTTTTCCGGCGTTTCCCGACACCCGACTGGCTGTCTGCTATCTAAACTCAAGGAATATTTGTACGATCTCCAAAACCTGGGATCTCCAATCCTACTGAAGCCACACGCTACAATCGACGAATCATCCTGATGGCGGCATTTTAAATTAGACACTTTTAGCAAGGGCAGGACCAAAAACAGTATTTCCTTCACCAATGTATCCTTCCAGTAGCAATAGTACATATTAATATATTTTTCTTTGGCCGTATTGACCGTGTGCTTGGCGGTAAAGTTATCGACAACCTCCATGTCAAGGTCAATACCGTCTGACCTCAAGTGCAAATCCTCGGATCGCACATCTGAGTGGTTGCACCTGCAGAACACATCGTAGGCTCCACCGGCGTAGAGCGTTTCATTGGAAGACCAAATATCCGCGTCGCACACTTTATTGGCCCCGCAGATGCTGATTAGCTGCACCAGAAATACCAGCAACAAACCAGTGAGTTCGCCCTCCATCTCATGACTGTTCCATAATACATAATGTTGTAGAACACAAAATCTGTACAAGCTATCTATGGAATACAGAAGGTTATATACCCTTGCAAGTATTACTGAAATCTGTAACTGTATTAATTATATTTTTTGTATTATTATTGTGAAATAACTTTTTTTCTATATGGCTAGTCGTTCTATTTAAATGCAAGCATATTTCTCGATTATATGGACAAGCCTGATGATGCTAATAAAAAATACAAAAAATTCTGATTAAATTACAATACAATCTGAAAGGGTATAGAAAAGTCTAATTGCAATTGGTTGTGGAGTCTCGTATACGACATAATCGGTTATCAGCATTCATGAAATATTATTTTTAGTACCATTACACTGACCATTTCTAGGCTTTGACTCCGAAGTGAGGTATTTACTTTGGTATTTATTTAAAATCTGGTTTTTATTCCTTATTGTTTTCTTTTTTTTATTTAATTTTTTATTTGTAGTTATCATTACAGAAATACTCTTACTTGTCCTCTGTTTTCTTTCGATCAGATAAATGTTTGTTATTAAGAATTCTCTGACTTTTTAAACTTTGATTATAATATTACGTTCATATATCTGGTATAAATATAAATTTAGTAGCACCAACAATTTTTTTTTTGGGGGCGTAGAAATAGTGTGTCATCAGAAGCTTAAGCTGGCCCTAAAAATTTATAATTATAAATCCTACTATCTTCAATATTTAACGTTCATAAATCTGTAATACATAAAATCAAATCTTGCAAAAAATCTTTAAAATTCGGAATATCCTGGCGCCAGTTTAAAGTCCTGCTGGGTGGCAGCGCTGTTCGCAGCTAAATTCGATATTTAAAAAAGTAGATATCGACAAGTCAGAGTTGCCACCGGGAATAACCTTGCTGTGCTATCGATAGCCAGACGGCGCGAGTGACATCGCTAGCGAGGGGTGAGAGGAACAACAACATTTGTGGGCTGCGCGTTGACGAAGTGCATGTGAAATTTTTCGTTCTTAGGACAATTGTTAATTATCTACTGGTCGGAATTGGCCCGCAATCACGTGTCCGTGTAATATGTGAACGGTGTGTAATATTTTACTCCTCGCAAAATCGGAGGTCGGATTGAAATTATAAAACTTGAAATCAGCAACAACAACACGGTCGGGCGACAAAGCGACACGCCTCGCGTTTTTGTTGTTGTCGCGTGTGTTGTTTTTTTTTTCGGCAGTCACTATTTATTTATTAAGTCAATTCGCAAAGCAAACAAGCTCGCCATTATTTCTAATAAATAATAATTAAAGTGCAGCCGAGAAACAAAGAAAAACAGCAGCTAAAAAAGAGAGAAAGAGAGCGAGCGAGAGAGGGGATAAAAAACGAGACGTTCTCTCACCTCACTCCCACCCCCGCGCTTTCTCCACCTCCTCCCCGTCCAACGTTTTTATCAAATTTGTTGTTGCTGCGCTTTAGTTGCTGTTTTTGTTTTCCTAGGTTTTTTCTGCGTCATAATTTGCGATTCTCTAATTTGGTGTGTGTGTTTTTAGATTAAGAAGTCGGGTATTGGAATCTGATTCACAGGAAAATTATACGAAGAATATATTTAAAATACAAGTTTTCAAAGTCCAGTTAACCTTACGTAATTGTGTGTGATTATAAGCGACCAAAATGCATCTCGATCCCCAAAAATCAGTTCATTACGCCTGCTAAGAGTGCTAAAAATTATCGCAAACCAGTATCAGCGGTAAAAGAGTGCGAAACAAGGTATAAGCGTAACAAGAATCGGCTGAAGGCGGGATCCAGAACAGGACTCGATCGGCTAACCGGAAGCGGAAACGGTAACGACAAACGGATACGGAAGCTGGCAAGATGGCCGCCGCCCACAGCCACCACAATGCCAATCTGCTCAGCTCGGACATCTCTCGCCGAAATCCACAAGACGAGTACGAGCTCATCCAAAAGATTGGCTCAGGAACCTACGGCGATGTCTATAAGGTGAGTTGAGATTTGTACAAAACACCGAAAATCTGTTCTTCCAAGTTTGTGCCACAAAAAAACATGAAAACTCTTTAAAAAAGCACCAAGCGAAAAGGAGCGTACGCCTGTGATTTAGAACTCTTACCCAGAATCCCTTTTTTATTTTAGCTCCCCTTCTGAAATTTTTGCATTCTTGCTACACTAAAAAACGAAAAGAGTAGTCAAGCTATTACTCATACGACATATTAAAGGCGGTATCTTTCAAAACTTAACAAAAAATTAAAGAAATTCTGGAAAATAAATGTTAGTTATGACATTTATAAAAAAATGTTTTTTTCTTGATATTTAATCTGCATAATAATATGTAAACCGATTTTTGCCAGTGCCACACTGCATGTGCACCCCTCGACCTTCCTTCACCCATTTTCAGACCCTCATTTGTACATCTGTTTGCCACCGCATGCTCCAAGATCCACCCACCCCTTTCCCCAAACACAAAAATATGCGCAATTTTAGTTTTCCATCTCCGCTCCGTTGGGTCGTTCTTTTTTACTCTCCCACTTCCATGTTTACTTTTGCTGCTCGTCGAATGGAAATATGACAAATGCCCCGAAACGCCGGAGAAGTTGCCCTTGGGCGGAAGGCGTGGCATCATGCAATTGTTGTTGTCAGGGGCGGGATTAAAGGGGGATAATGTCCCCCTATTTTGGTATTTCTTATCTGCAGACCAAGGGTTAAATTCCCCGCTTTCATATGGAATGCCTAACGATTCAGAGGGTTTCCTCAATTCGATTTATTGCTTTTTATGCTTTACCATCGTAATCTATAAATTATCAGCTCTTTGTCTGATTTCCATTTGATTAATTTCGATGAAATTAAAATGAAATAAATTTCTCATATCTAAAAAACCAATAAAGCTGAAAATTCAATTACTTTGTGCATTTTTGGAATGTGAAATTAAGTTAAGGCGCAATATTTTATTGAAATAAGAGTGCTATTAGATGATTTCATTATAACACATTTTAACGTTATTATTATTTTGTTCTTAATTATTTTAATTAACGACTTAAACTTTTTTTGTGAACCATTTGGGTATAACTTAAGGCCATTAGATGAGTGATTTTTGCTCATCGAACTGGCAGTTGTCTGATATTATATTTGATTCATTCTCTTCACCGAAATTTATTCGATAAGCAGCCACGCGCTTGCATTGATTATTGGGATTAGTTTCGAATGTGTTATTTATTTATGTTTGCCCACATCTGGTTTGGGCCCTCCACTCGTTTTGCCATCTGATTGGGTCGTTTTTTTTAGAGTCTGGTTCTGTGTTCTGCTTTTTTCTCTGTTCCATCCATGTGAGATGTGTCATGCTATAAGTCCAAAGCGCATGGTTTCGGTTTCGGTTTCAATCCACCCTTCCATCTCCATTTTTTCGTTCTGTAGGTCCCCCGATTTTAACTTCGACTTTATTTGTTTTCACATCGAGTTTCTCGGTTGTCAGGGAATTTTTCGATGCCACACAACTAGAGGGAATGCTATGGCATTTCGCTTCTGTTTACAAAAACGAAAAGTACGCCAAATGAAAAACAATTGCTTTTGGGATTATTTCCAGTTCGGTTTCCCACTTGGTTTACACTGAGTTTTGGATAAACCATAATTACACATATCGAGCACTTGAAGCGCAGGCCAATCGAACAATCATTTCATACTTTCATTGCCCCTTTTGCAACTTGTTTCGCGATATCAATTTACAATAGAAATTATAACAACGAAATGGACAACAATACGCCCTGTTGACAGGCTATTATAAATGGAATTGGATTTCCACTGCTCCAATTTGCTTTTCCCCGCCACCCTCATATCTTCCCCACTCACTCATTGCTTCTTATTAGTGCCACAATGATCCAAAATTGAGTGCAACTGCAGCAAAAATAAATGCACACTCAGAGGAAAATAATAAATATTTTAAATAAGCTTAATTTTCTGGAATATAAGATTCAAATTTGAATTAAAGGCATTACATTCAATGTATTTATCTTAGGTCCGTATTATTCTGACTCATTTTAAGTATAACGAGTATAATTAATATTTAATGTAATAAACTAAAATTATTCATCATCAAATAATGGTGTTTTTGTAAGCAAATTTGTTCGCATTTTTGTAAATATTTGTAAGATTGTCGTTATTATCGCGTCGGGTTAGAAATTTTATTATCAAATAAGATCAAGGTTTTGTAAACCTGCCTTCTCAAATAAAAACATTCATATAAATAGTTTATATAAGGTTTTGATTTTTGTTACTCTGCAGGAAAACTAGAAGAAAAATAAATAGCACCTGACAAGATGGGTGGGAACACTTGTGCTGTATGGAGAGTGAAAGAAAGGGGCTGTTGCACGGGGTTTTCATTACCGGAAATTCGAGAGCGAAACGCAAGTGGAGAAAAGAAAATAAAAGAAATATGGAATAAGTGAACTCTGCGCTTTTCAGGCGCACAAAAGGAAAAGTGCCAGGTTACCTAGAGTTATGCAATGAAAACTGGCACAAATACTAGTGCATAGACGCATACATATTTTATGCGTACGCTTGCCAGTGTGTGCGTTTTGTATCTGTGTGATTGCCTTTGCCAGGCACTTGACTTCGCCATACAATGTTGCCCATTGTAGTTGTTGTTGCCACACTTCAACAATCATCCTCGTCATTGTTGTTGCTGGTTTTATTTTGTTTTTGCCTTTTGTTATTGTTGTGCACGCAACACGCATGAAAACATGAAAAAATTGGCGCAAAGCTCTCAACAAAAGTGGGTGGTGGTATTTTTTTTATACATATTATTTTGGGGTGGGAGGTTAGAGAAAATTACTAGAGAAAAGAACGAAGTGAAGTGAATTTGAAGCAGCGCAACTGAAGTGGCGGGTAAAATGAGGGCGGGGCGGGGAAGGGCGTAGGCCAAGAAGGCGGTGGCGACGCTTAAGGAGGTCACGTAGGCGACGCATGTGTGTGGGCGTGGCTCAATGCGTTTTGTCTGTCTGCCAGTGTGTGTTTATGTTTGCTGATTTGCCGCTTGTTTGGTTTCGGTTTTCACACAAATTGCAATTGCAGTTCTTGGCAAACATAAAGCTCTGCTCGTCGCCTTGCCTTCCCTTCCAGCATAATGTTGTCATGTTCTATTGTTTCCCTGGCTAAAATCTGTGCAAAACAAAAACCGAATCTCAGCCAAATCATTTCGGCTAAAAGCCCAACAACTTTGTCAGCCTAGACAACAAACAAATAGCATAGGCATAAAGCGAAAAAGGGGTGAAAAGGAATCCCAAATCAAGACTAGCCGAAATATGTTTGCCTTGAACTAGGCGACGGGGAAAAAAACAAAGAAAAACCAGCAGCCAAGACAAATAGAAAATGTCAAAGGGTTTCCACCCCGCGATTCGCTTTGGCTACAGCTGAGACGAAAACCGAAAGATCCTCTGGATTTTGGTGGCTCTGGTGGGGGTAATATGCAAATGGATCTTGACACGCCCACCGCCAATGGGCGGAAAACAAACAAACCAGCGGGGAGACAGTTTCAACGCGTTCCCCGCATTTAAATGCTGAATGGCGAAACGCACAAAACGCAGAACTTTTCCTTGGCCAGGAAAACAGAGCTCCACTGCCAGGAAATTTCATCCGGAAACTACAGATTAGGTTTTGAAGTTTAGATAAGTTTGAAATTGCATATATAGTTATTTATTTTCTCCAGCTAATAAAACTTATCTTATATTAACAGTCGTAATTAGATATCTCCAGTTCATATTGGTCAGTACGTCTTAAATTTATTGGAAATGGCTTTGATATTTCTGTTAAATATAACTTAGTTATTTATGTAAGTAAACTGTTGAGTGGGATCTTTGCAATTTTGTAGTAAGCATTTTCAAGAGATCTTATATTTTTATTTCTAGAATTAGTAATTCCAGAGATTTTCTTTCTCTGTGGTAATGTGGGCTGAGTTAGGTGGCAACGGCAACCCTTAATTTAGCAACAACAAAGCGCCAAAACAAAACAAGTGACGATTGGGTTGTTAGTGGGGGGCTGAGGACCAGGAAAGTCAGGCGGCAGTCGAAGGGAGGGGAGGTGCCAAGGGTCGCCATGTTGACCCAATTCCGCCGTGGCAATAATTTGCACGTCTTCAACGGGCTGGAAAGGGAGGAGGGGGTGTTACCGGGAAATGTTGTGGATGGAAAATGAGTAACGCTGGGGGTATTTAGAGGGCAGTTCCGCCCGTCGACTGTTGCAGTGCTTTGTTGGTTTGTGGCTGCATTCTATCTCACTCCGCATCGTCCTATCTTTGTTTCTCCTGCTCCTGTTGTTATAGCCCTCCCATCCACTTCCCTTCAGCAAAAACAAATAATGCAACAACAACGTTTACAACAATTGCGATATGTTAGGGAGTCGTGAAATCGAGTTAACTACGAACACAGAACGTATTTCATGTTCGCTCATTAGCCTGTTCATTGACTTGCGGACATAAGCAGATATTGATTACCACACTGAGAGCTAGTGAAGCTATAAATCGGAGGTATTATAAAAACATTACCATGACTACTTTCCTAAAACAAATTCAAACCACTTGTGTTTCATAACAATTTGATAGGCCAATCATAAAACCTTCGTTATTACAAGAAATATTTACTTAAAATATTAAAAATATTTTTTCTCAGTTTTGAAACGAAATTTCAAACACACAGAAATGCAAAATCTGATGAAAAAAAACATTTCCTAAAAAGTTGATCTTGTTATTTATTTGTCACTTGAAGTTTACCTATATAACATAAGTAATAATTTTGACGAATTTCCAGTTTTATGATTACAAATTTGAAGAGCTAAATAAATATATAATAAATAAAATATCAGCTCAAACCTTAAACAAAATTATACACAGTGGAAGTGGGACTGAAACCCAAATATCTCATTTGTTTTAATGATTGCCACTTTCAATTGGATTGTTTATGTGCGGAGGTGGTTGTGGAGGGTAGAATAATTGAGTTAGA